CAGATCATCCTTTGTCAACAACGATCTGCTCATCTTTGACATCCTCAGCTGTGTTTTTCCAGTTGCCGTTTGTACCTCTGTTGGGATCGCCTGCATCCACTCAGTCTCATCATAGGGTCCTCTAAGGATATGCGTGGCCCCTGAGTCCAATAGCACACCCTGATTGCTGTCAGTCACCACCGCCAACACCCTTGGAGTCGTTGACGTTGTTCGCATTGTCTTCAAAAGACTGGCAACTTCACCCATGACTGAGGGCTGAACTTGTTGTTGTACTTGAGCAACTTGAGGCTGCTGTTGTACCTGAGCAACTTGAGGTTGCTGTTGTATCTGAGCAACTTGAGGTTGCTGTTGTATCTGAGCAACTTGAGGTTGCTGTTGTATCTGGGCAACTTGAGGTTGCTGTTGTATCTGGGCAACTTGAGGCTGTGAATCCTTTGAAGACTGATCCACTCCCCCGACCGGCTTGTCCCGGTCCTTGCCTTTGCCCTTGTCGTTCTTGCCATCCTTTGTCTTTCCCTTGCCTTTAGGGCTTCCTTTGGAGCTTTTGTCGCCCGGACTTGTCGTAAGCTTGTCACCAGCGGTGCAGTCTTTGGCAATGTGTTCCAAACTGGAACACTTCCAACATCTCTTCTCCTTGTCGTTGAGATTGTTCCACTCATGGGCATAGGTGCATTTGTCACCCTTGAGGCATCCGTAAGGTTTACCCCAATGCTTGCATGCTCCAGCTCCTGCACCATAAGCATTGCCTTCTGCATTGTTGCCATAGCCTTTCTTACCAGGAGATCCCTTCTTGCCACCACCCTTGTCACCAGCAGCATTGACCACGTTGATCTTGGGGTTGCCAGAAGTCGGACTTGCCTTTGTCATTGTTCCATGATGCAAGTGATCCGCTTCGGCAATCAACATCTGCAGATAGTTCTCCGCTGTGAGCTGTGTAGGCGCCACATCCACCATATGGGTCATGCGGAAGTTGCTGATGCGAAAGCTCGCTTGATGCTCCTTCGCAATCACTGTCCGCATCACTTCAGAAAGTGCGCTCACCTGCAGCAAGGGATCTGGAGTTGACGTCGCCATTGGCGTAGCATCTCACCAGCTTCAGCAGCAGATTTGGCTGCTGTTGTTTGAGTCAAGTTGTTGAGGATGGTGCTTTTCTCGTTGAGACCACCAGGTTGGTACAGCTTCAAGATGCGAAACACCAACTGCACACATGTCATCTCTCGCAAAGAGATTGCTTCTTGTTTGACCGTCTGTGGCACTGCAGCTAACAACATTGACAGCACGCGAGACTCCAACCTGACATACTTGTTCTCCACTTGAAGGTCAGGTTGCACAGCCATGCGATCCATTGGACCCGCTGTCAGCCATGTTGCATAGGCATCTTGAGCTCGTTGTACTAGTCCGGTCCACCACACTCTTGCCCCTTCTGAGACATCTGAGATCAGCGGCATCAACTCACTTAACCAATCTCCTGCACGAAGGGCAGCTTGAGGCTCTGACACGTCCTTCAAAATTGGCAGTGTAATTGGCACATTTCTCAGCACCTCAGAAGCTTCACCATCAGGACCTTTTGCTTGTGGTTGAGGTTGTTGCCATTGCAGTGGCACTGAACCATATTGCATTGGTGCTGCATACATTGGTACACCAGAAGGTCCAACTCCATGTCCTTGAGGCGGTTGTGGTGGTGGTTGCGGAACATGACCAAAGTCCGCTGGTGGACCACCATGTCTGTGCACCGGTTGCTCCCAGTACTCACCTGTCAACCTTGGTCTTTCGCCATGCATCATCCTGACCTCTCTGTCCAACCATGCAAAGCGATCTGCTCCAGGTTGAAGATGATGCTGCTGTTGTGGTTGTTGATCCACTGGAGTCCAAAAATCCTCCAAACCATCAAAACCTGTTCCACCACCCACGTGCTCATCAACTGCAAATGGGTCAAACTGCCATGGTGGAAGTTCTGGAAGATCTGCTACCTCCCGTGGTGGTTGTCCCGGCGGAACTTGAGTTCCTCCAGGTGTTGTTCTTGGTGACAGTGAGTAGTACTGAGGTCGGCGCGGTGGTGTCCTTGGTGGTTCCACGCTTGAACTCTTCTTCTTGAGCTCCTTCTGCAACTCCTCATTCTTCTTTTCAAACTCATCACGCTGGCGTTGCAAGTCCTCAGCATACTTCTTCATCTCTTCCTTTTGTTTCTCCATCTCAAGCTTCTGTCTGTGAAGCTCTTCAACCATTGATTGCTCCAAAGCCCGCTTGAGCTCATCACGCTCATCTCTTCCTTGTTGATTGACATCGTCCACAAAGGTAGTTGTGCTACAACCTTGTACTCCACCTTGTGGTTGCGACTTGCCTCACGTGGCATCTGTCGTCTCATCTCATACTGTTGCACTCCCATTGGAACTCTTTCCAAGGGTGATCCATCATCTTGCCGATGACCTCGTCTTTGAGATTGATCTCGCAGACCACTTGGTACTGTTCGATGACCTTGAACTTGACGTCGTTCAGGTCCATAACCATGACTGACTCCTCGGTGGCGTCCAGTCTCTTGCACATTTCCTTCAGACCTTGAGGGTCCATGACGGCTGACTCCTCGATGGTGTCCCGCCTCTTGCACATTAACTTCAGACCTTGAGGGTCCACGGCTGACTCCTCGATGGTGTCCAGCCTCTTGCATGATGTCAGACCTTTGAACTGGTATCTCACCTCCCAGTCCTCCAGTCTTCCCACCTTGTCTTGCAACCCCATGAGATGGTATCTCACCTCCCATCCCATTGGGCTGCACAACTCTTCCTTGACCATGCCCCTTGCCAGAACGTTGCACTTCTCCAGCAAGTAGCCCTGTCGCGACACCTCGATGGTGCCCAACTTGTTCAACACCTTGAGGGTGTTCATCTTGATCGACACCTTGAGGGTGCCTAACTTGATCGACACCTTGAGGGTGCCTAACTTGATCGACACCTTGAGGGTGCCTAACTTGCTCGACACCTTGAGGGTGCCCTCACGTCTAACACCTTGAGGGTGTCCACATTGTTCGACACCTTGAGGGTGTCCAGCACGTTGACCTTGTCCAGCATCTTGAGGATACCGAAGGTCCACACCTTGAGAGTGTGCAAATTGATCGACACCTTGAGGGTGTCCTGCATGTTGACCTTGTCCAACATCTTGAGGATGTCGAAGGTCCACACCTTGAGGGTGTACTTCACGGCGACCTTGTCCAGCATCTTGAGGATACCGAAGGCCTTGACCTTGTCCAGCATCTTGAGGATACCGAAGGTCTTCATCATCATTTGATGGCATAGCCCCTTGAGTCTGCAAGGCCACACCTCGTCTTGTACTCCAACTTGACGGAGCACTCATTCGTCCCATTGCTAGCGGCTCCAACTCTCGCGACGCGTCTGCATCTTCTATCTCCGGAAGGTCCTCCTTGACTGAGACCTCTTCCCTTGGCGTCCACATCGGCTGCTCCATGGCCAACTGACGTGCTTCTCGTAGGTGTTCTTGCTGAACCCCTGCTGACCACCACTGATTCGGCTCGGTGCCTAAGTCCAACAGGTCAGTGCTCACATCCAGTTCTTGCCGTAGAGCCCCTCCATGTTCGCCTCGTAGTAGAGCTCGTCCTCCACCTTGACCATCACTGCCATTGGGTAGAGCTCTTTCATCTCCACGCCGAAGGTCTCTGCCGTCATGTCCAGCTCGGTCTCTTCCATGCCCTTCTTGGCCTTCTTGATCCAGCCGTAGAGCACGAGGTCCACTTCTACCAAGTGGCACCGAACACGACCTAGTCCACGACATGGCAAACGCCCCTTCAGCTGAGCGTTGGGCTCATAACCTGTGCAAGGCAGAGCAGCGCGCCTTTTGATCCTAAAAGAGCCTCCAGTCGTCACACTGATAAGAACAGATACTTCACCTGTCAAGCAGTGATAAGACCAGATCCTACACATACCCTATTGTACATGCATGCACATCAACCCTTTTGCACCATTAAATCTCTATAAATACCATTAAATCTCTATAAATCCCATTAAATCTCTATAAAATCTCATTAAATCTCTATAAATCCCATTAAATCTCTATAAATCCCATTAAATCTCTATAAATCCCATTAAATCTCTATAAATCCCATTAAATCTCTATAAATCCCATTAAATCTCTATAAATCCCATTAAATCTCTATAAATCCTATTAAATCTCTATAAATCCCATTAAATCTCTATAAATCCCATTAAATCTCTATAAATCCCATTAAATCTCTATAAATCCTATTAAATCACTATAAATCCCATTAAATCTCTATAAAATCCCATTAAATCACTATAAATCCCATTAAATCTCTATAAATCCCATTAAATCTCTATAAATCCCATTAAATCACTATAAATCCCATTAAATCTCTATAAATCCCATTAAATCTCTATAAAATCCCATTAAATCACTATAAATCCCATTAAATCTCTATAAATCCCATTAAATCTCTATAAAATCCCATTAAATCTCTATAAATCCCATTAAATTTCTATAAATCCCATTAAATTTCTATAAATCCCATTAAATCTCTATAAATCCCATTAAATCACTATAAATCTCATTAAATCTCTATAAAATCCCATTAAATCTCTATAAATCCCATTAAATTTCTATAAATCCCATTAAATTTCTATAAATTCCATTAAATCTCTATAAATACCATTAAATCACTATAAATCCCATTAAATCTCTATAAATCCCATTAAATCTCTATAAAATCCCATTAAATCTCTGTAAATCCCATTAAATTTCTATAAATCCCATTAAATCTCTATAAATCCCATTAAATCACTATAAATCCCATTAAATCTCTAATCCCATTAAATCACTATAAATCCCATTAAATCTTTATAAAATTCCATTAAATCACTTTAAAATCCCATTAAATCTCTATAAATCCCATTAAATCACTATAAATTCCATTAAATCATCCCATTAAACCACCAGGAAAATCACAATTTTTCGTGGGATTTCCGTCCTGCCAGGACGGATCCGATCGCCCGATACCTTAAGCCTGGCGAGTGCCATTACGGCCTTCGCAGCAGGCGGCGAATTTCAGTGATGGAACCCACCAAAAAAAGGGTGGAGTTTACTGGAGTTTATTGGAGTTAGAGTTCATTGATGATTTATAGAATTATCCAGATTGTATAAATTTATGATTTATGATTATACGTATAATTATCTAAATATTCATTTTTTTGATTTCACCACCCAAAGTTTCTTGAGTAAAGTTTGTGAATTTACTTTTTGAATCAACGGACTTCACTGAATTATTACATCAATATGAGATCCACATGTTTTTACGGGAGTTCACAGACTTCATGGAATTATTGAATCAATCTCAACCTCACAAATGGAGGTTTCACCACCTGAAGTAGCTATAGATGCGGATTTTAAGCCATACATTTTTGGTTTTGTCAAGTCGCGAGTCGCGCTCTGCAAGCAGTTTCATGTACCCTCTGGTAAACTAACATAGCTATTGAAAATGGCCATTTATAGTGAGTTTTCCCATTAAAAATGGTGATTTTCCATAGTTATGTTAGTTTACCAGAGGGTACCCGGGAGGCATCAAAGATCCGACTTCACCTGAGGCGCCCAGGGTGCCCCATAGCTGAGCCGGCACTGTCGAAGCCGAAACACATCGAAGAGTAGGGCCATCCAAAGAGGTCAAAATTGGGTTCCAGGATTTTGTGTAATCATACTGTATCATACTATATATATATATATGTATATATATATACACACTACATATTACATATTTTCATCTATAAGAAATTATATATGCATACATATCATATAACATGCAACACACTGCTGCATCTTAATCGTCTCATTCGTTCCTGGCGGCGCAGGCGACCCTTTCGGGACTGCAGCAAGTGCATCGGCGGCTCAGAGAACTGCCCGGGGATCACAGCGGCTGCGACGCGGAGGTGTTACAAGCCACAGGCCATGGCGCCATGGTGATGATCAAAGCATCCTGATACTTTCCAAAGCAGGGGCTGTGCCGGATCATCGACAAAGCCATTTAAGATATGTATATATATATGTATATACATATTATACATATATATGTACATATTATAGATATATTACATAGATATGATATATTATATACACATACAGGTAATATATACACACCAAAGAACTTCGGCAAGATGAACCTCTCACTGACCTGCGGCCCGTCTAGTTGTTGCAGGTCGTGCAGGCAGCTGGCACCTGGCTCTGACGATTTTCAACGAAGCCGGTGAGGTGGATCCCCGTCCATGGCGGTCTGGGGGTCTGGGGTTATAGCAACAATAAACCACCCATATTTCGATGGTTTATATCGCTTATAACCCGTCAAAAATTGGTTTAAAAAATCAGGATGGATCTATTGATCTGACATTTTGCTTTACATTTTGCTTTACTTTCACATTTGTTCCTTAAAAATCATCTCATGGACGACCATTTTTTTATGTCTTGAAAGCCATGGTGACGACTGATCCCACATTTTAAGAACCAGACCAGTTGATGTGCCGAAGGCAGCAAAGATCCTGCCGATGCCGGGCTTTGCAGGTGCGATGGAAGGGGTGTCCAAATGGAGTGTAACCATGACTATGTATATACTCACGGTGGATCATTTGAGAGTCTTCTGGACTTTCATGGACCCAAGCAGAACAGATCTTCTTTCAACCGATACCGCCCCATGGTCACATTGCGCAAGGAGGATTCAGACTTGCAGTATGGCATAGAAATCTCGCCTGGCAATGGCTTACTCTCCTATCTTCATATCCATTTGCAGTTCATGTCATGGGAAAATTGGGATTTCCCTTGCCACTTGGGGGTTCCACTAACTAGTGATTAATATAACCATAAGGGTAAACGCTCCCAACTTATAGGATTTATTACCGTAGTTATACCATTTCTCAAATACCAACTGCACCAAACCAACCTACTCATTCATACATCACATGTCCCATAGTTTCCCACGATTCCCGTCATTCTCCCAATATTATCCCATAACACCATCGAATTCCAACACGATATTCCCATGATATATCCCATTTTTTCCCCATCTTTATTACCATTTATTAGCATTATTACCATCTTTTATACCAATATTTTTTCATATTTTTCACCAATTTTCACCAAAAACTGCAATCTCCCCACGTATGATGCCCCAGAAATGCTCCGTTCCTGGAGGTGCCCTGCGCGCATCTCTGCTTTGGAGCCAAGCGGCCTGGTCCTGCGAGGCGTGCGACGACGAGAAAGGGGGATGGCAGCGACTGGGAAATCCTTCAGCGAAATGGTAGTTTTAATGAGTTTTAATGAGAAATTCATGGGAAAATCATGAGATTTGGGACAATCATCGGGAATTCAACTATACATTGGAAAATAAATAGAGATGTCGTTCGCAAAAAATGATCCAAGTTGGGGATTTTCCAAACCATGTTGGATTACCGGCGAGTACAGTATATAGATGGAACAACATCCGGTGATGGACGATGTTCCCAACATCCTGCAAGGTTGTGCGGTGCATTTCAGATATTTCAGCTTGCAAGCTCTGAAGAGCATAAAGACTGCCGTTGCTATGTGATGTCAGACACATGACGTGCAGCCTTCACAGCGTGCTTTCTTTAGCTTTGAAACTCTCCTTTCAAGAGAGGTGCTGTGGCTGTTGATGTGCCAAGCAGCGTTCTTCCATCTGAAACCAATTGCGGACGGTAAATCTATTTATAGATGATCTTCCCAGCGAACTCAACTTCCATTTCGTTCAGGGATTTTCCAGCCACGTTTGATGATACCGTTGTGGGTAACCCTTTTTCGGGTTGCCATGGGCAGGCTGCGTGGCAACCGAGCAGCTGGCCTTTGCCCAAAGGCTTGGCGAAGTGCGAAGTGCTGCTGCCACTTTGAAGGCCGGACGCCTGGAAAATCACCATGGGATTGCCCTGAGTTTCTGTGACAAATAGACAATGAATATACCCTTTGGTTATGACTCACAGTTTGCCATGGAAAATCACCGTTTTAATAGGATTTAATAGGTACATCATCTATAAATGGGTCATTTTCCATAGCTATGTTAAATAACCAGAGGGTATATATATATATATATACAAATATGGTGAATTAGAGCATCAATATGTAGTTTGGGTTTTCATCTCTGACGGTCCGAGTTGCCTGAAGCTGAGATTTCTTTGCGTATTATCCACTTGAACAACCTCGCAACTTTGAGAACGTTGGAACTGTGTGGCGTTTCCATTCACCTGAACAGTTTTTCTTTGATTGGCAGTTTGCTCTTGCACCGTAGCGGAAAAATGACGTGTGACATTTTCTGGCTCAGCCTGGCACCAAGATACAACGGTAGAGCCACAGCACCAGGCAGGCTTGAGTTCTAAACGAGCTATCCAAGCTTTAAAGTGATGCCAAATCATAATTGAACATGTCGTCCGGAAATCACATGAACTTTACCTTCATGAGGGATCAAAATTAGCCACTCCCTCTGAACAATACGTTAATTGCGGGACATCAACTCCGGGCAAACGTCCAGGTTGCAGCGAACATGTTTGAACATGTTGGAACAAGGTTGGATAGTATGGGTGCCACCCATGATGTCTACTTCGCAACCAATTGAGTCAAAACGACACGTGTTTGCCCCTTAGCAATGACCGGAAGTGCCCAAGGCGACATACTGCGCAGCCTCGGTCTTGTGCAAGGATTTGGCATTCCCTGCTGGAAGTTCCAAGCTGGTGTCTCCAGCCGTACTTGTGCCTCTTTCAGACTGTCGAGCACTCGCAGGAGCAGAAGCTTGCATTTTTTCACTGGTCTTGTGATTTTGCTCTGGACCTGTCAATCGAGTCTGTCGCTGACGTCTGGACCAGCAAAGTACTTCGGCAGCGTCAGCTATTACCATGGGCATCGCTTGGAGGATTCGAGGTATCAACATCTTGATGCCTTGACAATAAAACACATTGAAACAGGGATCATTATGTGGTCCTGTGCCATTGATGTTCGAGAGCATGCAGGTCATGAAGGTCTAAGAGACGGGGATCAAGTCGTGTTTCATTTCACAGACAAAGACTCCTTTCGGAAGATCACGAGTCTTGAAGATCCACAGCTCTTCGCGAGTATGAAGAGAGACGACAGTGATTTTGGCTACGGATGTTATGCCACCATGAAAGCACCGCACGACTGGAAAAGCAAAAGTCATACCCTCCTCAACAATTATTGGCCGGACGCGAATACCATTCAGAGTCTCAGAGGAAAGCCATGGCGGAAAGGTGAGATTTTGGAGGATTTTGTGAAGGGAAAAGTGGGACAGTATGTCAATAAGAACTACTACGGCAAGGCAGATTACTGCATCCCGCTGATCGTGGACAGACAGGTGGCCAAGAATGTGATGAAAGAAGACGCGGATGCTCCAGCGATGCCGAATGGCTACTCAGCTTAAACAGGCATACAGTCAGGTCTTCCCACCAAAAGGGCGCGAATAAGTTGAAGATTGTTGAAGCATGGTGCAACCTCCAGTGTCACAACATGACCTTCCTTCTTCGACACTTGACCAAGAAGACATTCCAGTTAATTTGGTAGTGATGTTGGTGTGATTCTTCGGACATGTTAATGTGGAGTTCCATACGAGTTCCATCTAGACCATCCACACCGGGTTTCCACGAGCCAAGTTGGGGAAACGACGGCCATGAACTGAAAGGAGCTGAGGTACAAAGCGGCTGGCAGGCTGCAATCGCCACGGTCAGAAGGAGCCAACTTGGCGAGATGTTTGGGTGATCTCTATCTATGAACAGACCAAGGAGCCTTTCTCACTGGGTTGACTCAGACACAGACATTTGAAATGTCGCTTCGAAACATGTGTTGTCAACACCCAAGGGTTCAATAGCCTGTCCAGGAGGGTTGGAAAGTCAAGAGCGCAAAACAGCCAGCAGATGCCGCCATCAGGATTCTCAAGAGACGTCTTGAGAGCTTTGAATTTGAAAGTGCAGCAGGTTTTTGGGGCGGGTTTTTAAGGATCGACAGTGCATGTAGTGATTATATTGATTTGATTTGATTTGTTCACTTCAGTTATATAGAAAGATCTTCATTGTTTCAGACATTCTTCTACACTAAAACGGAAACAGAAAAAGAATCCAGCAGTCTTTGACTTTGGTGTCCCTAAAAGCCTGGCAGAAACACTCGAGGAATCAAGATGAGCATGTGGCCAATCTGGCGAAGTTCCAGCTGAAAGAATATCCTCACATCCAAAAGGAGCTCTTGGGAAAGGTAATTACAGAAAACCCAAGTGACTCTATCGCCTACAACAACCTGGGCACCTTGCTCAAGGCCGGTGAAGAGATCCAGGTTCAGCTGCAAGAGGGCCCTAGAACCTTTAACAGAAAGCAGCTCTACTTGAAAGCCATCGAACTTGACAATGCATATGCATATGCATACTACAACCTGGGGATCTTGGTCAAGGCCGGTGAAGAGATCCAGGTGCAGCTGCAAGAGGGCCCTAGAAACTTTACCGAAAAGCAGCTCTACTTGAAAGCCATCGAACTTGACAATGCATATGTACGTGCATACAGCAACCTGGGCACCTTGCTCAAGGCCGGTGAAGAGATCCAGGTGCAGCTGCAAGAGGGCCCTAGAAACTTCAACGAAAAGCAGCTCTTCTTGAAAGCCATCGAACCTGACAATGCATGTGCACGTGCATACAACAACCTGGGTAATTTGCTCAAGGCCGGTGAAGAGATCCAGGTGCAGCTACAAGAGGGCCCTAGAAACTTTAACCAAAAGCAGCTCTTCTCGAAAGCCATCGAACTTGACAATGCACATGCATACGCATACTGCAACCTGGGCACCTTGCTCAAGGCCGGTGAAGAGATCCAGGTGCAGCTGCAAGAGGGCCCTAGAAACTTTACCGAAAAGCAGCTCTACTTGAAAGCCATCGAACTTGACAATGCATATGTACGTGCATACAACAACCTGGGCACCTTGCTCAAGGCCGGTGAAGAGATCCAGGTGCAGCTGCAAGAGGGCCCTAGAAACTTCAACGAAAAGCAGCTCTACTTGAAAGCCATCGAACTTGACAATGCATATGCAGGTGCATACAACAACCTGGGCATCTTGCTCAAGGCCGGTGAAGAGATCCAGGTGCAGCTGCAAGAGGGCCCTAGAAACTTCAACAAAAAGCAGCTCTACTTGAAAGCCATCGAACTTGACAATGCATTTGCATATGCATACTACAACCTGGGGATCTTGCTCAAGGCCGGTGAAGAGATCCAGGTGCAGCTGCAAGAGGGCCCTAGAAACTTCAACGAAAAGCAGCTCTACTTGAAAGCCATCGAACTTGACAATGCATATGCACGTGCATACAACAACCTGGGCATCTTGCTCAAGGCCGGTGAAGAGATCCAGGTGCAGCTGCAAGAGGGCCCTAGAAACTTCAACAAAAAGCAGCTCTACTTGAAAGCCATCGAACTTGACAATGCATTTGCATATGCATACTACAACCTGGGGACCTTGCTCAAGGCCGGTGAAGAGATCCAGGTGCAGCTGCAAGAGGGCCCTAGAAACTTCAACGAAAAGCAGCTCTACTTGAAAGCCATCGAACTTGACAATGCAAATGCAGGTGCATACTACAACCTGGGGATCTTGGTCAAGGCCGGTGAAGAGATCCAGGTGCAGCTGCAAGAGGGCCCTAGAAACTTTAACCAAAAGCAGCTCTTCTCGAAAGCCATCGAACTTGACAATGCACATGCATACGCATACTGCAACCTGGGCACCTTGCTCAAGGCCGGTGAAGAGATCCAGGTGCAGCTGCAAGAGGGCCCTAGAAACTTTACCGAAAAGCAGCTCTACTTGAAAGCCATCGAACTTGACAATGCATATGCATATGCATACTCCAACCTGGGGATCTTGCTCAAGGCCGGTGAAGTGATCCAGGTGCAGCTGCAAGAGGGCCCTAGAAACTTTACCCAAAAGCAGCTCTTCTCGAAAGCCATCGAACTTGACAATGCAGTTGCACCTGCATACTACAACCTGGGCATCTTGCTCAAGGCCGGTGAAGAGATCCAGGTGCAGCTGCAAGAGGGCCCTAGAAACTTCAACGAAAAGCAGCTCTACTTGAAAGCCATCGAACTTGACAATGCATATGCACGTGCATACAACAACCTGGGCATCTTGCTCAAGGCCGGTGAAGAGATCCAGGTGCAGCTGCAAGAGGGCCCTAGAAACTTCAACGAAAAGCAGCTCTACTTGAAAGCCATCGAACTTGACAATGCATATGCAGGTGCATACAACAACCTGGGCATCTTGCTCAAGGCCGGTGAAGAGATCCAGGTGCAGCTGCAAGAGGGCCCTAGAAACTTCAACGAAAAGCAGCTCTACTTGAAAGCCATCGAACTTGACAATGCATATGCACGTGCATACAACAACCTGGGCATCTTGCTCAAGGCCGGTGAAGAGATCCAGGTGCAGCTGCAAGAGGGCCCTAGAAACTTCAACAAAAAGCAGCTCTACTTGAAAGCCATCGAACTTGACAATGCATATGCATATGCATACTACAACCTGGGGACCTTGCTCAAGGCCGGTGAAGAGATCCAGGTGCAGCTGCAAGAGGGCCCTAGAAACTTCAACGAAAAGCAGCTCTACTTGAAAGCCATCGAACTTGACAATGCAAATGCAGGTGCATACTACAACCTGGGGATCTTGCTCAAGGCCGGTGAAGAGATCCAGGTGCAGCTGCAAGAGGGCCCTAGAACCTTTAACAAACAGCAGCTCTACTTGAAAGCCATCGAACTTGACAATGCATTTGCATATGCATACTACAACCTGGGGATCTTGCTCAAGGCCGGTGAAGAGATCCAGGTGCAGCTGCAAGAGGGCCCTAGAAACTTCAACGAAAAGCAGCTCTACTTGAAAGCCATCGAACTTGACAATGCAAATGCAGGTGCATACTACAACCTGGGGATCTTGCTCAAGGCCGGTGAAGAGATCCAGGTGCAGCTGCAAGAGGGCCCTAGAACCTTTAACAAACAGCAGCTCTACTTGCAAGCCATGGAAATGGGCGATGCACTTCTGCGGATGTGGTTTCTTTTAACGCATATCAACTGTCCAAGAAATGGAAGGAGCTGAAGCGAACACGCTGCAGTGGAATCGAGGACCTATTCGCCTGAGGAGCTCCAGGTGCAGCTCTCAGGGGGAATGGGACGCATGCTGCGATTTATCCTGAAAGGGACGCCTAGATTTACCAAGCGGCTCTCAACATTGCCGCACTGAAGAAATTGTTCATTTGCGATCTTTGTTTTTGAAGTAATTAGGTCGGGACCCTTTCTTGTTGCGTGATAGACTAGCAAACTGTTGGACTTGAGAGTCAGCGAAGGAACGTCTGAAGGGGTTGGTTCTCAGCAACAGGCAAAAAATCCTTGCAAGATGCCCCCCCCATCCGTTCAGTTTTTTCATGAAACCTTCAAGCCCCGCCCTGCAACGTTGCTCAGGTGCGGCCACAGTGCCAAAACTTCACCAGGGACCAGCTCCATTAGGACCTCCCATCTCTTCGAGCAAAGGCTTCGAAGAAGAATTCGATGGCCGGGAATTCGCCTCGCAAAAAAGGAACCGAGTCGAATGCAGAGCCGCCATGATTTGTAAACGATGCTGCGCAAATCTTCCACGTCACGAGGTTCTTGAAGTCCAACAAACCAGCACCGAGTTTGTCCCGCTCTGAGCTTATGAATGCATACACCATACTACGCTATTTATTGCTGCTTGGTTGGAAAAAATCACAATCATTGCATCTTCTGTACTTCCCTTTTTCTGTCTTTCACTCTGTCTCGATAGCATCAATCTCTCTTGCAATGCAGGAGTTTGGGTTTATGGATGCGGATGGCATTTTTTCGGAAACCTGTGGATTGCCTCTGTTATTTGAGAAAAGTGGTGCATCTTTGATCCTCTGGGCGTTGGTCTATTTTATGGTGCATTTTCAATCGGTTTCAAGAATGGTCACTGGAATTGGCTCTGGTGCATGTTTTGGGCATTTGTTTTGTCTTTTTCAATGCAAGTGGGAGAGAACTAGACTCCTAGACATGTTGATTAGAACTAGTTGAACGAGACATTCTTCCCACTCACGCATGTGGTCTAGACTTTCGTCTTGTTTTTGGGTCACCAAGTGATTCGTCCCATGTTGAACTCGACGTAAAGTTCCACGGCCTGGACCACAAAATTGCGAGGTCGATTTCCAGCTGAGATCATCCGCAAGTTTGGGGCAAAAATGGAACGCGAAGTGATGCTGTTGTCTGGGATCCATGTCGCAAAGTGTGGTCAGATGTTGTCATGTTGGAGGGCCGAGTCTATAGTCTGACAATGTCTGATAGAATCAGTCTTGATTTTTCCATGCACATCCATGCACCCCAAATCGCAGCACGACCAAGTTGGGGGCCAACTGCCACTGGTTTTGGACCTGGGTCGTGTCTTATCCACGAGTTCGAACATAATATTGGAACAGAATGGAACAGAAGGGATAGTGACAGAAAGAAGGTTGGGACATTTTCCACCACATCGACGATTTGTTCCTTGGTTCAAATCACCGCATACACCAGAGGGCACGGATTAAGGGCATCATCGGTCGGTGCACTCTTCCAGTGGTGCAGGACAAATCCATTTTGCAGCAAGGATCTTCCCGCAAAAAACGGAGTCCAAGATGTTATCCACACTACGGGTTTCTTACTGTAAACTATAAACTTTATCTACTGAAATCCACTGCTATGCAAAATGAAGTGTATCAGTGCATCAAGAGAAACCATCATTGATCAACATCTAAGTACCATTTTCCCATCATTTATCAAACATGCACCATAACAATCATAACAATCATCATCATTTATGATACCAATCCACTACCAATCCCGGTGTTATCATAACGTCACCACGAATGGCAACCGGTCACATGCCTAAGCCGCCTGCCACGCCTCCACCATCGCACATTTTAGGTCGACCTGGGGGACCTGGTGGGTGGAAACGTGGAACAGTGAGCTTTTTTAAGCATATATCAGGGTAAATTTAATCACGACCTCACTGTTCTCCCGAGCCCTGCGAATCATGGTTTTTATATGGGAAATCATTCCCTTTTATGGCCGAACTATTCAGGTTAGTGATTTATTATAATTTTCCCAGATATATCTTTACATATCTCTTTACCCTTCGGCCATGATTGAATTGGCAATTGAACAAAATCCAGCATTTCATTGAGTTGGATGATCGAGCGAACTAAACCTCCATTTGCGGGGATTTTCCAGCCACGTGTGATTACCAGAGAGTAAATCGAAGGTTGGATGTTGTGTTTTTTTGCTTGGAAGCGATAGGAATAGGGTCAACCCATTGACAACCGGCCAGGATCCATGTCGAGTCGCTTGGTTGCATTTCATCCAGCACAGCTCAGCCACCTTGTTCCGCTCCATAGAAAACCATTTTGTTTGGGTTCAACGGCACCTGACAGAATTTCGGCTTAGAGTCTTAATGGTCGTATTGACCATGTTCATCTAGCCTGATTTTTCCGTCCACAAAGTGTCGCCATAGCTATGGACGATCCCTGCTGAACGTCTGAGGTTGGGATACAAGATCTTGGACGCCTCGAGATGCATGGGGAGGTCTGGAGCATCCCCAGCGGCCATTGATGCGAACTTTGAGCCAAGAAAGTGACACATCGCAGCCACCATGAATTAGTATATGCAAGTAGTACAAGTAGCACACGAGACACATGTGACATGATGTGACATTCCATTGATGCAGAAGTTTGAGGGGACCCAGCGAGGTGAAGAGATGGATTGGTCGGAACGATCCCAGGAGGACTTGAAACAGGTGGGGCTTCTGACAGCGGCTGCTGGTTGATGATGTTGTTTTGGTGTCATAGTTCGGGACTGAACTATGGATCATTGTCAAATCATTCTCCAAATCATCTCAATCATTGGATAATGATAATAATCAAACTTCAATAATTTCAGACCATTAATATCAATCCATGAGTTGGATCATTATCAATAATCCAAATCACCTAAATTATATATATATACACATACATACTTAATCATGTTTACAAACATGCATATGCATACATATATCATCATATATCTCATTTTATGATTGGTTTTGTTGTTGGCTTGTACGCCTGGAAAACGCGCAATTTCATGCTGGCAACTCTGCTTGGCACGTCTCGTTTATGTACATTTTACCCATCGTTTTTTTGGGCTTCGTGCTGTCCTATTATAATGTTGCGGTTTGCACAAGTGGGGTGGGATCCCAGGACCTGCATGGTGACGCGATCCCAGAAGAGGATCCCCTAGGCACTGGGGGGTCCTGATGTTGCTGGGGAAACCATCCATTTTTTGGGATAAAATTCATCACTTATGGGTGCAGGCCAGGAATTTATGGATATAATTGAGGGCACTTCAACACAGTGGAACTGCCCGCGGAAACACTTTTGGTATCTAGTGATTTTGCCTGCCCCGAAGGGTGATGATGTCTCGGCGCGGAGCTGCCAGGTATGATACGGACATCCTTCGCAACTCCAAAGGACAAGATAATGAAGGACGAGATGAAGGATGAAGTGAAAGACGAGATGAAGGATGAGATCAAGGATGAAGTGAAAGTCGAGGTGAAGGATGAGATGAAGGAGTCAAGGGTTTTTGTCAACTTCGTCGCCTACCGTATCTCGAACATTTGGAGGGCCTACACATATTGAGGTGACGTAGAGTATCAAAGGATCAAAGGGACGACTTTAGACTGTGGATTGGAAGTCATGCACGCATATCTTTTATGGAACATCATTTTTATAGGTAGCTCATCTATAAACGGGTTATTTTCTTCAGCTTAGTTATGTCGTTAAACTACCCGAAGGCGATCCAAGCCAAAGCATGTCCCAGGAAGAGGAAGATTCGGAGTCCTCCAGTGAAGATGAAACAGGACTGAATTTGCCAACGGTGGCATAGGTACTCTACAACTTGAAACGAGTATGACTCAAAACTATGGGCCCAGTTTTTTTTTGGGAGATGCACATCCATCAATATCCATCAATATTCAATTGCTATTTTGGGCTTCACCAGGGCAGCTTTTGGGTACATCCAGGCCGGTGGATGTCTGCTTTGCGGCCGCCCCAGCCCAAGAAGATGCCGCGGCCCGTGCGTAGCTCCGAGGTGGCAACCCCCAAGTGGTCGCCGGCCGCGGCCCCGGCGGCCCCTTCCAAGAACCGCAACCGCTCCACCAGTCCCAGGAAGCTCATCCGTCCCAGCAGCAAGGCGGCACCACCCAGGGGCCCCAGGGGCCCCACAGCACGGCCACCATTGCCACCGGAGAAGAGGCTTTCCGTCCATGAAACCTCAACTGGGTTGCGGCCACAGCCACCACCCATGACTTTATATCAGGAATCACAGTGGGGATGCTCAGATGAGAGAGAAGCTTGGAATGGAATGACATGAGTAGCAGCACAAAGAGACGAACTGATTGAACTGCTAACATGATAAAATGCGACAATATGCCATGATATGCTACGATATTCTACGTTATTGCACAGTACAATATTCTACGTATTATAGTGTCACATCTATGCATATATATATATATACATACATACATACATATTATATGTATATGTATGGTCCCGTCCTCCGTCTCTCCACCCCCCCCCTCCCCCCCCCATGGGTTGGGTCCCCAGGTAGCAGCCCCCCTTCCCTTCTATTTGCAAGCTATTGGCAGCATTTCTGAGGTCCAGCTTTGTATTTGCTAGGTCTTTGCAGTATTTCTGACTACCAGCCTCGCATTTACTAGCTACATGCTACCTTTTAGGCGACCTACTTAGCACATATACTCCTTGAAAGTACCTACGTGCTACCTATAGTCATATATACATGTGCTATGTATCTACTGTATCTACTTCCTATTTACTACCTGTGTACTCTCACAACACCACCTGTGTTTAACATATACCGTACCGAACAATCAATCAATGATGCCATGCATACCATACCTATCATACCTATCATACCTATCATACCTATCATATCTATCATACACACCATACATACCATACATATGAAATGTAATTACCACACCTACGATACATACAATAGCAAACATACATGCCATACATACCATACATACCTTACATAGGAAATATGCCATACCATCATAGTAATCATACATACCATACAGACCATACATACTGTCATATCAAACATACCATACCCAACAGACTTACATACCATACCTACCATCCATACAATACCAACCACTCATGCCATACATACCATACCTACCAAACATACCATACTTTCCAAACATGCCATACCAGACCGACCATACACACCATACATACCCAACATACCATACCACACCCCCACCACACCACAGGGGGGGGAGGGGGACAGCGCCACACCGCCACCACACCACAGGGGGGGAGGGGGAAGATCTCATATGGGGCCAGTATATGGGACCCATCCCATGGGGGGTGGGGGGGGGGGGGGGGTGGCAGGGCCTGGTGCATGTATATGTATATATATATATATATTGTATATATATATATACATATTATACATATATTTATACATCTTAAATCCACACCTTCAAAATCTCGCCTAGCAGTTGCAGAATTTTTCGTCTGCTCAGAGTTGAGGCGAAGCCCTTTGCCTGGTCCTCCACCAGTGCAGGACCCGGATTTTAAGGGCACCTTTCCGGTATTTTACGGAAACCTGAGCCCACTTACCCTCTGGTAATGGCTGACATAGCTATTGAAAATGGCCATTGAAATAGTGGATTTTCCCATTAAAAATGGTGATTTTCCATAGTTTTTTGTATGTTTACCAGAGGGTAAAAGCTCGACATTTTGATCCAAGTCCGAAAGGGGGAAAAACTCGGAAACTCCAGACATCTCGCGAATGACACCAGAAATCAGAAATAAGGCCCCCGCTGGATTTCACTGGTAAGAACATTACAAAACGCTCTGGTTGGTTGTTATTTGTAATTTTCAACCATAAAACTGGGAGATTTAGGATGATCAAACTTCAAAATCTGATGTTTTTTCCATTGTTTTTTTCAATGGTCAACCATAGAACTGTGAGATTTGGATAGATTTGGGATGAAGAAACTTCAAAATCTGACTTCAAATCTCCCAGTTCTATGGTGGTTTTTCACCCAAAAAAATGCCCAGGACCCACCCTCTGCGCCAGCCGTTACCACGCTGGCGCGGGCCGCACCTCAACAGGGCTCCATGGTACCGTGGGCACCACCAGGAGCTCGATTTCTTCAGTCGAAAAGTGTGGATTTCACCGGGAAAACATGGCTACTCTCTGGTAAAACATGGGGACATCATGACGAGAATCTAAAAAAATGTTGGGAAAATCAACGAACGAAATTTGAAATGGGGGATTGAACAAAATTGCCATGTTTGGATACCTTTTTGGGTTTTTCACCATTGTAAAATACACCTCTTTGAGGTTGGGAGTTTCTTCTCAAAAAACCATGATGAAATGAAAAAACCACTGATGAGTGGAGCTGCACCAGAGGTGGGGATGTGATCCTTTTCTCACATTTTGAGGTGGCAGTTACCCTCTGGTTATGTCAAAATAGCTATTGAAAATGGCCATAGAAATAGTGGATTTACCCATTAATAACATGGTGATTTTCCATAGTTTTTTGTATGTTTACCAGAGGGTATCGGATGATGTGGGATAAATCATCTCCAGGCGATTCTCTGTTGCCAGGTGGAATTCCTGAAGGGAAACCGGGCCAAAAATATTGATTTGACCGGCCAACATGGAGATTTCATGGAATTTCACCGAACTTAACGACTGGTTTTGTCCTTATGATGCACTGGTTGGTGGTTTGGAACATTTTTTTATTTTTCCATATCTTGGGAATAATCATCCCAACTGACGAACTCCATCATTTTTCAGAGGGGAAGGTATACCACCAACCAGCCATATTTTGTTGCTATTCTGTTGACAAGACCGGTATCATGAGTCCGAGATCTATTTTTGGGTGAAACTAATTGCTGTCACTGCAAGCTCTCGATGATGTCACTACATGATGATTCGAGCGTAAGGCTGGTAAGGGAAAACGACTTGATTTTACGACTTTGTTTCAGTGGTGAAGCAAAATTCAAAACTCCTCCAGATGAATTTGGGGAGATTCGGGGATCATGATGGATCGGAGTTTTTGAGTGGTCCATGAGGGATGGGGATCCCCCAGAAAAGAAGCACTTTTAATGGTTAGAATCTGGCGCCATTTCTGGACATCTTGGGTTTTCCAAACTTCACAAAACAAAACTTGACGTTCCGGAGGAGAGAATCAGATCCTAGTGGATGTGGATCAAGAGGGGCTGGCCATTGGGGAGATGCTTCAGGACGGGTGACATTTTGGAGCCCATTTTTCGATGGCAGTGGTGACGGCAGTGGATCCACATTGATAATTCGCCGCCATATAGGTGACACTTACTGCAGAAAGACTAGCAACATATGCAACATAGTCTGGTTGGTGGTTTGGAACATTTTTTCATTTTTCCATATCTTGGGAATGTCATCATCCCAACTGACTTTCACTCCATCATTTTTCAGAGGGGTAGGGCTCAACCACCAACCAGTAGTACATTTATACATATTTAGTAGAGTCAGTCGACTGAAGCACGGTGATGTCCCCTACTCCAATTGCGGACAGGACTCTGGTTTCATCCAAGCAATGCAGGCGCATTTCATCCGCTTTCATCCGCTTTCCATTGTGGCAAACCTGGCAGAAATCAGCTGGGGGAAAAAAGCCTCAAACATTTAAGGGGTCCCAGTAGAAGAGAGTTTACTCTTGGGGACTGAGATTGCGATGTGGCACATCTTTGGATTGGATGCTTTGATAAATTTTTAGCATCCCCTTTGGAATAAGCACTATAAAAATATATATAAAAATCATAAGCGCAACCGTCTCTATATAAATCCAGTTTTTTTTCATACAGGTCTTTCTTCTGGTAGACTTGATCTCGGGCTTTGAGCGCATCAAGTGGGACGAAGTTTCCTGCAGCATCGCCCCATGAGACCCAGCAGGTGATCCAGGGACGTCTCTCCGATGTGTTAAAAGCTACAGGCCGGGAGTGCAGAGTTTCTGCTACCATCTGCGGGAGATTACCCTCTGGTAAACTAACAAAAAGCTATGGAAAGATCCACCATTTTTATCCATTTTTCATGGGTAAATCAACTATTTCGACTGGGTCATTTTCAATAGCTATTTTGACATAACCAGAGGCAACGTCCCAATTCACCGATCGGCCTTAGGCCAATCCAACGGCCCGGTGCGGGTGAACGTGCATGTGGACCTGGGCGGTGGCCCACCCGCACCCATGGGAATTTTGAATCCCTGCCTGCTGAACAACCTGCAACCGGCACTGCAGGATAGTTCCTTGGCCAGGAATGTGACATCGGAAATGATCCACTGGGAAATGCATTTGCGTGCCATTGAGGTTTGGATAATATATATATATATCTATATTATATATATTATATTATATTATATATATATATTATATACTACATATGTAAATATTACATAATATATATATATATATTGTAGATATTGTATATTATACATATTATATTAAACATATTATAATACAGATGGCGGCTGAACTTTCGCTAAGGCGGTGGCGGTGCCTGGGATCACCTGGCCACGGGGCCTCAGTCGTCTCGGTTTCGGATCACATCACGGCTTGGTCAATGGGGAAAAACGGGTCACAATGGTTGATATATTATAGTCAATTATAGTGGTAATATATGTGAATTATAGTGGTCAATTATATGGTCTATAGTCAATTATAATGTAAATTTTCCCTTAAACCAACCCAGTGAATATGGATAGCTGTTGACTCATGAGAAACCACTGTTGATAGTTTTATATAGTTTTATATGACCCTATTTATTAGTGGTTAATGAGTATATACTCATATATTCATCAATTATGGTGGTAATATATGGATAGCTGTTGACTCATGAGAAAATATATGTGGTTGGATTGGTTTTGTTGGGAAAATCTACACCGGAAACCATGGTTTTTACCATGAAGATCATGGGGGTGTCCTGTAAATTTTCCCTTAAACCAACCCAGTGAATATGGATAGCTGTTGACTCATGAGAAACCAGTGTTGATAGTTTTATATGACCCTATATTTATTAGTGGTTAATGAGTATATACTCATATATTCATCAATTATAGTGGTTAATGATATAAAAAAAACCTATCAGGGGATGAAAATCAATGATCAATGAAGAACAATGGTTTTTAATGGTTGAGACTGGGCAATATATGGGTGAATTCTAAGATAGGCGGTAACTGAACATGACAGCAATATTCATACTTCTGTTATAGTGGTTTATGACCCCTGGTCGATGATTCTACTGGTTTTAACAAAGGGGATGGTTTAAAACCTATGATTCAATCGATCTGTGGTGAATGAATATGAAATCTTGACCAGCTATGTTGATAACCAGGGTACCAGGGTATTGAGCCATGGCAATATGTGGGTGAATTCTCATATAGGTAAGGAGTACTATAAGTAATACTCTTCTTCTATTAGTTAATGACCCCTGGTTGATAATTCTACATAATTCTACTGTATATTAGTAAATCTATAATATAATTCTTTTTTTTATGGCTTATCCCCATTGGGTTAAACTGAAACATCAAAAGCATTTATGATTCGCATCCTTCGACTGCGACCTTGGCGAGGCCAAAGAGAGAATCGTTGATGCCTCTGAAATCCGTTTCTGCCAGAGGTCTATGAAACGACGCTTCCAGGAGCCGTTGAACTGGCGATTTGCGCGATGGGCTTTTGTGAAAATGGCCTATCTTTTGTCGCTGTTTGATGCTACCCTGACCAGGACGGAAGATCCTTAGAGGACAGACCTGGATTTTGTTTAAGTTCCGGCGTGGTATTTCACCAATGCGATAAACCATGATAAACCATCAGAGGTTTCACATGGTTTCACCATTTCTATGGGGATATCATTGATATATATATATAATATAATATAATATAATATAATATAATATAATATAATATAATATAACTTAACATGATATTTTTCGAAGCTGATTGGGTAACTGGGATGGTGAATTTTCTTGGATTTGCCATATTCAAAAATTCCCATTTCAATGAAGAATTATGACACATTTGCCATATATATATATGGGTAAATTATAACGAAGGTTCTTGCTCGAGCCTTCCCGGGGCGACCTTGTTGGACCTACGGTCAGGTTCACTAATCGGGCAATGGCATCGGATGTGCTGACAGATTTCCTGGTTCCCTTCTTGGTTCATTCAGATACCTTGGGATCCATTGGGAGCTTGGCATTTCCACGAAGAGCAAATCTACTAGTCCAGGTCACTGAGAGACATTTCCATGAGGATGAAATTGCCTTGAAGATTCAACGGAAAGTACCAGAGGGATGGGGAATTGAACAGTTTTTTCATGATCACATGGACATGCCAAAGGACGTATGGCTTCCTGAGACGGAGTGGCTCATTTGGGACGCACAGGTCAGTTTACCACCTCTTCACCAGACATGCTGGATTCTTGGGGTCTTTGATCAGGATTTCTTCCGGGGAAACTTGGAGCATGCCTTTGTAGCTGATGATAAAACCAGTGTCATTCCATTGCATGAGCATGTTGGATCACACACCTCCATACGCCTTTTGGAACTCTATGCTGGGGTATTTGGGGGCTGGAAGTCTGCCCTCTCACTCATGCGACATTTTGGTATCACGACACAGGTGGTTGCAATAGAGGCCAATCTGGAAGCTTCTGTTGCCTATGCACTTTCACATCATGCCACATGGGTAGGACCACAAACACCTGTGGAACCAAACCTTTTTGTCAGCTCGAAAGACGACTGGATTTTGCAGAAGGATGTGCATGACCCGGCAATCAAATCGGCTATTGGTCAGTGGGCCCCTAACATGATCACCATTTCTGCACCTTGCCCACCATGGTCTTCAGCAGCCTATTCAGCAGGGATTTCAGATCGACAAGGCCAACTTTTTTTCCAATCAATTCTTGAATGTAGGTGGTATCGCTCTCCTTGCATCCTGATGGAACAAGTTGCCAATTTTGCCACTCACCCACATAGCCAATTCATCCGAAAAGAACTGCATTTCATTGGTTACAGGTTGGTATGGCAAAGAACTCTGAACCTCTTGGACCAATCCAAGACAGCACGCAACAGATGGCTGGCCCTTGCAGTCAGAATCCATACTGAGATGCCTATCCAGCCATGTCAGAGTTGGCCCATTGCCACCCCTGACACCAAGCATCCGATTGACATGCACTTGCCACAGTCCTACAAAAGGGCATTGCATCCGACCCCTGAAGCCCTGGCAACCGCCAGTGACCCCCAAATGTACAAAGCAGGCAGGCAGACAGGCATGACCAAGGCTCAGGTTCTTGCAGCTCGGACCATCACCACTGATGGATGCTTTCCTACGGTCATGGCCATGCATGGTTCACAGCATCTTCTTGATTTGAACTTACTCAGAAACAATGGATTTCTTGTTTTTTTCATTCATGATGATGAGATGCCAAGTAAATGTAGGTACTTGCATCCTGCTGAATGTGCTCTGCTCCATGGAGTAGTTGGACGATGCTTTCATGACCCTGATCTTGCCACTGCATGGCGACACCAAGGTAATTGTATAGCAGTGCAGCACGCCTTGGTGCCTATTGTAGCAGCCATCAACCGCCTCCTGAACATGCAATTGACCACACAAGAGGTTTTCCAACACTTTCACGAAATCAAACTGAAGCCAAGCGATTGCCATGTTGTCAAATTTGCTCATGGGTACATGCTTTGCCATAAGAATACTTTGTTCACCACCACTTTCCAGACAAACGCAGATCTTTGGGAACGACACATCAAGGGTGAAATTGCAATGAAGTTTTGGTCCCCTTTGAAGGGAATGCTTGCTACCTTTCCAAAGTTTGCACATCAAGAAGATTTCATGGGACCCACATCCCCAATCTCGGTGGCATCATCACAGGAAACTTGGGTTGATACGTTGCCATTTCAGCCGGTCCTGCAAGCCTGTATCAAGTTTGACACGCATGTTGAAACCATTTGGTGTGCAGCAGATCATCAATCCAGCACTTTGGAAGCCATTTGGGACCACGCCATGTCACCCACTTTCCATACGGAAGGGTCATCATTTGCTTTCACCATGCAGCCTAGCTCGGTAGGGAAAGTCACGCGTGAAGAAGATGCAATTGTCGTTTTGATGGATGGTGAACTCACACTCATGAAAAGCGATTCGCGCAAGTCGATGTTAGGACAGCAGCACATTTCATCGCTTGCCACCATGCTTTTTGATCAATTTGGTCCTGTGGCTACCGGCCAGACACCAGATGATGATTTGCTGATCATGCCCCAAGAACTGATGACCGGTCCACTGCAGTATCCTATTGTCCTTGTAGCAGCCACATTTGCACAGGTGAAGGTAACTTGGCATTGGAGTCCTCACAACAACGTTTTGTCAGCCTACTTTGAGGGTCCAGACCTGCAAGTAGAAACTCTTGCCAATGAGTGGAAGACCGCCATTGATGCCACATCCCTTGCGACCTTAGGACGTCAGGCATTTTGGTACTCAGCCAAGAAAATCTTGAGATGGGAACCAGCCAGATCTGCAGGTGTCTGTCCCCCAAGACAGTTTCGATTGGCATTGGCGGTGCGCATGACACGCAAGTTGCTGAATGGTTGTGGGCAGGGACAAACTGACCTGTCTCCCTCCATATTGCTAAAGTGGTGGGGACGACCCTTGTGGACAGGGATGTTGCCCAATGATCACACACTTGCACCAGTTTTCATGATCCTGCAACATGCGCTGACACCAGTTTCAGGGGAAATCCCACACAGGCTTATGTCACGGGGTCAAAGGCTGCAACCTGACTTTGCCATTCGTCAGCTTGAAGTGAGCCAACATCGCCAACAGATCCTCATCCATGCCGTTTTGGCCCTACGTGGAGGAGGACAAGGATCCAAAACACAGCAAAAAGCCATACAGCAAAGTGCACTTGCTTCTGCATTGCTGGAGCAAGGCCATGACTTAGCTTGGACAACACGTGCAGTGGATTCCGTTGTCGAGAAGACTAGTCTTCAGAAACTCCAGACAATCACCTCCCTGCCAATGGGAAATCAGCGAGTTCAGGCCATCTATCAGCTCTGCAAAGACAATGGAGTCAAGATCCAGGATGTCCCAAAGCCCGCCACTGGGAAACAGTTCCCAAGTGCACCATGGAATCAAAACAAAAGACGCAAAGAACAAGGAAATGCAATTGATCCAACCGAGTTTCAGATTCTGTCAGGCTTCTTTATGAACGAGGATGGCACCAATGTGCAGCAGCTTGCTAGCATTTTGCCACAGGCTACTGGTATTTGCCTTCAAACCCCAGCCCAAGCTGAAGCATGGATCTCCGAAGCCCAGACCATCTCATGTGATGAGTTGGGACTGCTGGTGTTAGGTACATTGCCAGTGACTACGACCCTACAGACCAAACCTGTCACTTTCCCATGCCTCAATGCAGCCAAACAAAAGGTACTGTTGCATGGCCAATTGGTCCAGCTGGGAAACAAGCGCATCACATGCAAAAAAGATGATCTCCACAGTATCACTGAACAGCCATGTCAGCTTGTCGCATTGACGATGTACAAATCTGATTTCAATGACACAGACTGGGCCATGATCACTGGCAACCCCATTGCGCATGCCAAGAAAGTTTTCACGGCCGAGGGCGTGGATCAGGCAATTCATGCATATTGGGGCAAATCATTGCGTTGCAACAGGCTTCCTGCTAGCCCAGCTCAGGCGACATCGGTCCAATTGCACTGCACAGTTGAGGAACCTAGATTGCCCAAGCTGTTGTCGCGCAGTGGATTCAACAAAGTCTTTGCCACACCCAAGACACAAGGGGGCCAAATTGCAACCCAATACAAGGTCATTTGGTATCCCGGTGATGTCACAAAGCTTACAACTGCCTCCACCAAAACCATTGGATGCCTTGGCCTGGTCAAAGGTAAACAGGACAAGGGCTATGGATTGAGGTTCATGGATGACAAATTTGAAGAAGCCTGGCAGGTCCTTCATCCAGGTGTGCCGACTCCGACGTTGCAGCCAGGCGACAAGCTCTTCAAAATCCAGGGACTTCCGTTTGGGTGCACACACCAGATGATGATGGATTGGTCAGATCACTTGAAATGGAAGCTCACTCCTGTCAGGGCACTGGGGCCACAGACATGGTTAGCTAGATCACCAGATCATCCGCCAGAAGGCATTGTCCTTTTCAATTCACAGCCACTGCTCATCCGATACTTGCCACCCAAGGAACAGAGACCCAACCAAGTCTTGTTGGGGCCCAGAACCAAGCCTGCTCCACCTGAGACCAAGGCTCCATGGGGGCCAATGAATGACCCTTGGGCCAACTACACACCCAACAGTGTGCCGGCATCAGCCTCACAGACTCTCCGAAGTGTGGATGGCCCCACTGAAAAGCGCTTGGCTTCCCAAGATGACAGAATCAATGCACTGGCTGACAGCCTCAAAAAACTTGAGGTAGAACAGCAAGCCCATGCTCAACATGTCAGCAAACAATTCGAGGACATTGCCATGCGCGAACAGGACAGCCTAACGAAGATCCAGGCAACCATGCACAGCTTGCAGACCACCATGGAGCACAATTTGCAGCAGACCATGTCCCAGCACACATGTAAGATAGATGCGCAGTTTGGTGAGTTGAAGCAGTTGTTCATGCAACGATCCAAAAGAAGGTCACCCGAGGCAGGAGATGATAGCATGGAGTGACTCCCTGTCACACCACACATGCAAGATCCGTTTATTGTACAGATAATTCAGCTTTTTGCTAACCATTCACCTTTTGCTGGATATATCATTTTAGCTTGGCTATATCTGATGGAACAGTGGATAACTTGTGATGCCATGCGAAGTCACCGTCACACAGCACCATTGCCATTTAGATTTTTTGTCGCAACCCTACTGGGGGCTAACCTCCTGTTTGACAAGGGGAATTGGAGACTCGGATCGTCAATTCATTGTCTAGGTTTGCAGCCAGCCATTCCTGTTTGCCTCCTTGGAGTTTTGATGCGTTTCCATGGAGCCAGGGTCCAAACCCTTATTAATTTGCCCAGGTTGAAGCATATCCATTGCCAACCTGCACTAGCATGCCATGCTGCAGGGATGATGTCTCACTATGCCATTTTGGCACCAGCTTGGAGATCACACTTATCTGCCACTAGGGTGGGAGAAGCCACGAACCCAGGACCCCCAGATACATCACTTCAATGTGCAATCACTAATCCGACTTCCATTGTTTCTAAAGCCAGTGTCTACCGTGACCTAGCCCGTAAGTTTGGTATCCAACTTTTTGCCGCATCTGAAACTTCCGCCACAGCCACAGCTCAAGCAAGCTTCAGCCGCCAGATTCGGAGGCTTTGCCCACGTTTGCTTTGGTCACAGCCGGTTCCAGACCACAGGGTGAAAACAGATGGCACCCCATCCATGCGGGGCAAAGCATCAGGCGTAGCCCTCCTCACACAGCAGAAAGCCAGACAGGCACAGGGCACTTTGCCGCATTCTTGGATTGCCACGTCACGTTTGCTCCACACGGTAGTTAGTGTAGGCAGTATCCACATTCAGATGATGATTGTATATGCCTTGCCAAGTTCCCACTCAGGGTCTAATCAGTTTAATAATGACCTCCTTGAACAGGCCATGCGGGCAATCGACCAGTTGCCAATCCCAGCCATTGTCCTAGGAGACTTCAACGGAAACCCAGAGCAATGGGAACAAGGCCACTTGCTGCGCGAAAGGGGCTTCACAGATCTCAAACACCACCATGCGAGACTCCAGGGAGGTCCCATGCCGCCAACTTGCCGTGATGTGACACATCCAGACAATGCATATTTTTGCCCCAAAACTGCATCCTGGCTCACCCAAATACATGTAGTTGATGACCACTACTTCGACACCCATAAGGTAGTAACGTTTAAACTTGCCATACCATCCCTAGACTGCCACACACTCAGTTATCCAATGCCACAGACATTCCTGGACTTACCTTTGGACCCAGATATCTTTGAGCAGGTCTATGGAACTTACCGGCAGGAACACTTGGTAGGTGGCCTTGAGGGGTGGGGCCAACAGCTTGAACATGTTATTGACGAAACCCACAGACTGACTCAATGTAAGTTGCGGGGATGCCAATATTCTGAAACTACTGCCTTACACAAAAAATACCGGGGCCGATGCCAGCCCAGAAAATTGACCAAAAAACCAGTCCAAACTTTTACTAAACCGGGTAGACCAGGGGATTATAACCCAGAAATGGAAGTCCACACGTTTGCCACTCGTGCCAAAGTCAGGCAGGTCAGACGACTTAAAAGCCTCATGAATGCACTTGCCATGCGCACGTGGACATCAGCTCAACGAAAGCAGGCAACCAATGAATGGATCAAAATCCTCAGATGTAAGGCCTTCCAGGGAAATTTCATTCTTTGGGCACAACAGTACCCTGAAATTCCGGGCGTTCCATTTTCTTTGCCATCCTTTGACATTGTGCAAACCCTGTATCAACTCACCAAATTCGAAACAGATCAAGCACTTTGGTTTGACAGGAAAGTTTGGTTGGATAAAATCCAATACCGGCAGCACCTCGACAGGACTTTCGGGGGTCACGCAAGGGCTTTTGCAGAGCTCAGGAATAGTGACCAAGGCTCCACTCACGAGCTGCACCAAACGGTTCAGGATGATGCCATACTTGTTGAAACAGATGCTGGAGTTTTGCAAGCCTTTTTGGATAAGCCAGCCCAGTTTACCACCATTGACCCGGTGTACATAGACACAGTTCGCTGCCGATGCATAGCCATAGCTGACCACTACATTGAGATTATTGCATCCCAGCCACTTGCTATCACCGATTGCCCGGTGCAGGTTAGCCAAAAGCAGATCTTGCAACATCCGAATGCCATTGCAGCCGAACTTCAGAATTTCTGGAACAAATATTGGAACCTCACAGAACAGCAGCTTATCATGTCGCCTGACCTTGAATCCATAATTGACCAGCTACCACCCCTTGTAGCCCCTGACTCATTTGACTTTTCTGATAAAGCCACTTGGCATTTAGTCCTTAAGGGTCTCAAAGCACGTAGTGCAAGGGGTTCAGATGGGATTTCTGCTGCTGAACTTCGCCAGGTACCGGCTGCAGCGATTGATGATTTAGCAGACGTACTGCTCAGTTACCACAATGGTTTTCCAGCGTGGCTCATGATTGCCCGCACTACACCAGTGCCAAAGCAGACGGGAGCCGATGGCCCAGGTGACTTTAGACCAATCACCACCCTGGCTCAAACATATCGATTGTGGTCACAGGTCATCAGTAGAACCATCCTGCAGGCATTTTCACGGGTAATGCCAGACACCATCACAGGATTTCTCCCAGGCAGGGGCCCCCTTGATGCCGCCTATGGCCAGCAATTTCTCATTGAGAGGGTTCACTCCAAGGGCGACGTCCTCTCCGGAGTCAGTCTTGACCTCGAAAAATGCTTTAATACCAGCTTTAGATCTGCTGCTGCCGTAGCATTAATTAAGATAGGTATTCCCCCCCGCATAGTCCACCAATGGCATGGATCACTATCTGGGTTAACTCGGACCTGGTGTATTAATCAAAGTTATTCCACCCTTGTTGCCACTAACAATGGATGCCCTGAAGGTGATCCCTTCAGTGTTGTAGCTATGTTGAGTGTGGGATACACATGGCAGCACACCGTTGCAGTTGCCACACCTGCCACCAAATGCAGTGCCTACGCCGACAATTGGTCATGGTCAACATCCAAGGTCAAGACGCATCCGGCCATCCTGAAAGCCACATGTCTTGTCACCAATATCTTCGGCATGTCGGTTGATTGGCATAAAACTTGGGCGTGGGTAACCCATAAATCTAGCCTAACTTCCCTCAAAAATGCGTTGCTGCAGTTTTTGGACCCTGACCAGATTCATGAGCTTTGCACCAACATGGATTTAGGTTGCCAGATGCAGTATCGAGGCCCCCCTAAAATTGGCAAACTCAAGAAAAGAATTGAAGAAGCCCAACGCAGACTAAAAAGGATACAGACACTGCACTTGCCTTTTGATGTCAAACAACTTCTAGTCACAAACGGTGTTTATTCCGTTGCCATGTATGGTTTTGAATTGACACCCATGGGCATACAGAAGTGCCAAGCCCTTCGCACAAATGCAGCCAATGCCATCCTTGGCGAATCTGCATCGCGCAATTCTGCAGTCGCAATGCATTGCATGCCTAAAACGCTGGACCCTGAGGTTTACCTGATTTTTCGTGCCCTCAAAACAGCTAGGAGATTCTTGCACCGCGCTCCTGCCGGGGTGCGGGATGACTTCCTCACCCTTGTGGCCCGACACACAGGCAGATTTCAGGATTGTAAGGGGCCAGCCGGCACCTTAAAGTATTATCTTACGCGGTTGGGCTGGCAGATGTCCCGACATGCGATGATACAGGTATCACACTTCATTCAGATCAATCTGCTGACAGCCTCTCCTGCGGTCTTGCTGGACTGGACTGTTAAGGAGTGGCAATCAACTTTGCTTCAACTGCATAGTGATCGGCAGGGCTGGAAATGCCTACCACCCATCAGCCGACGTGACACGATTCAGGTGATAGCACAGTTTCAGCCGCATCAGCAGAAGCAGATCCTTAATGAAATTGCCGGCGCATTCCAAACCCATTGCCAGCAATCAGTATGGAACAGCGAGGTCACTGAGGAATGCAATCTCTGTGGCCAGATTGACACCAGGTACCACAGAGTTTTCACTTGTGCTGCCACTCAGCAAGTCCGAGATGAGTTTGCTAGCACCATGACTGCACTACTAGATATAGGTACAGAATGGCACGAGTTACCAGTCATTTTTGAGCATGAGGCTGATGACATGCATCGCACAATCCATGCAACATGGCCTGAACCGGACATACCTTTTCATATGTTCCAGCAGTTGCAGCTCATTGACCACCAGCCCCATGAGCTGTCTTTCTACACAGATGGATCATGTTTGCATCCCACACTGCCCACATGTCGTTATTCAGGTTTTGCGATCGTGATTGACTTGGCAGCCACAGATGCGCAGAGACTTGAACAGGTTTCCAGGGCCATGACTGGCCATAAAGTGCATACTCTAGCCCCACTGGTGTCTACCCGCACACCAGGTGCCCAAAATATATATATATATATAGAGCTGAACTTTTTGCCATCACCTATATTGTTGAGCGATTCCAACACACGTGCATTCATACTGACTCACAAGCGGCACTGGATACTATTGCTCATATTTTGCACACTGCAAGCGTCGCCACACTGGAGCACCTTCCGGAATTTGATTTGGTACAAAGACTTTGGACTGCCTTGCAGACTGGACGTCGCCGATTCAACAAGGTGACTGCTCATGCAGAGGCTGAGATTGGAATTGATCCCATAACTCGGTATCATAGATTGGGGAACAAACTGGCCAATGATTGTGCCATCATTGCTACAAAAATGTTCTCCTTTTGCCACCGCTCTCTCTGCAGTCGCAATGGAACGGAAATATGAGCATGCGTTGCTGTACCAATTGTTTCAATTTCATCTAGCTGCATTTGCTCACCGAGCTATTTTGCATGCCCAGGCCACGGACGAACAACATGAAGCAGAGGATGCCACTCGACAGCGTCAAGACGTGAGGGCCATCTGCAGCAACTACAGTTTGACCCAGGTCTGGAAGATGCCCCCTGCGGGGCACTTGATGATACAGGCGTCAGCTTGGGGGCCAACACTTGCGAAGGACATGTTGACATGGATGCGGTCATTTCAATGGCCGGTACGGCCAAGCCAGCATGAGTTGCAATCTGCAGGGGTCACTTGGTATGAGTTGGTGATTTCCTTCATGCTCTTCACCGGGGTGTTTTTCCCTCTGAGATGTTCGGGGGACAATGGCACAGGAATTCTGTTGGTAGCAAAATCAGATGCAGAAATTCAAGCACTTAACTTCAAATTTAGCGACTTCGCCAACACCTTCAGTATTTTCTACAAGCAAATTTGCGATTTGATACAATACCCAGTTTGGCCGGTTGTTGAAAGAGGTTTGGTGCGTTCAATGTATTTGCAGGGCTCTTCTTGTTTTACCTCTGGATTTTTGTGGCGGCCAGTTTTTCCTTGCCAAGACAGGGTAGCGACCTTGTTCAAGGCATACCACCAGCGGCACAAAGGCCCAGCTTTCACTGAGGTACCAGCGCTGGGAATGATACCAAACTTGACAAAAACTAAGGCAATACAGCGGGAGTTGACAGGATCCTGGGTGGAAAGGTCCAAGCGATTCAGTCAGGCGTCAAAGCAGATGCGAATGTACAGAAAAAATCCAATGCCATCCTTGCAGTTTAACTCAGATGTCACTGATCAGTGACAACAATGGGCCACTTGTTTGTCAGGCATCTTGCTGGACCATTGCAATCCCAGTTTTGACACTATCTTTTCACGCCATAGGCCAGGTCTCACTTTGGTTAGGCCTCGGACCACAGACCGCAAGCGGAGGGTAAATTATAACGACCTCACTGTTCTCCCTCACTGGAAATCATGGTTAAAAAGGGGAATCATCCCCATTCATGGCCTTAAGATTCAGCTTAGTGAAATATGATTTCATTTACACAAAAAAAATCTATGTGAACACACATCAATTGCCATAAAACCATGTTTTCCCAAGCTTTTCCCATCCCCCATCACGGGCCCAGGAGCTCATTCGGTCCCTGATGGCTGGACGGATCGATCCCTTGGAAGCTGGGTTTCTGGGCAGACACGACACGTGTCATAAAAATCTGTGGCCGGCCTGGTTACCCGGCCTGGTAAATTTACAAAAAACGACGGGAAAATCAAAAATCACCATTTGTTATGGGAAAACTCACTATTTCTATGGCCATTTTCAATAGCTTTTTGTATGTTTACCAGAGGGTATGTCAAAATAGCTGTGGAATAGATAATGCCCATAGAAATAGTTGATTTACCGAACTTAAAGATGGTGGATCTTTCCAGTTCGCTATTTTGACATAACCAGAGGGTCTCCATAGATATCCGGTTGGAACGGGGCAAGATTCCCACTCGGACCTCCTTTTCTTTTCGATGGGAAATGATGGGGAACTCGTGCAGATTTTCCATCCATTTTCCATCCATTCTCTGGCAAAACATTTGTCTGCTATGCTATCAGCAAAGGTAAGCAGACCCTGTTACTGGAAACCCCGCAGAAGGGGATGATCTCCAAGTTTGCTTCAGCAAATGATAGCATCATTCCAAGGTTCCTCAAATTGACAGTGGTGGAAAAGAAGGATGAGAACAAGCGACTCGCCCTCTTCTCGAAGGAGCGTTCTGAACTTTGTTGAAAACCAAGTTGAATGGAACAAGACAAATCTATTGATGACATCTTTGAGTATGGGAAAACTTATGAGATCTTATGAGTATATGCAGTATGAGATCTATATTCGATGATTGCGATTCCCAAGCGTTGCTGGGGAATCGCCACGCACTTTTCGAAGCTACTGGAACTGGCCCAAAAAACCAACTGGCCCTTCACCCTCTCTGCAGTAGTCGTCAAGCGCACTTCACTAGGACAATCGGCGACTTTATTGCCTCAAAGAATACCAGAAGAGAATCAGTTCGAGCCTCAGTGCATACGGCCACATGAAAGGACTGCTGAGTCCGCACAGTCCGCCTCCGCCGTGCCGTGCGGCCAGATTTCCAACCCGTTCCTGTTCGATGCAAAGTCCTTCCATGGCTAACAGTGATGGAAGCTTGCATGTTCCGGAGGAGCGCTTGATTTTCAGCGGGTTAGATTCGGTTAGACGGTTAGATGTTGGAGGATGCTGTGGATTTGTTGCCGTGTTTGCAACTGCTCTGGGAAACTTCTTTCCAGGAATTATGACACCGAGACAGACGGCCACCAAATCCTTCTGCGGAACTAGAGAAAAAGCCGACACCGACCGGCCCTCTAGGATGCTCCGCTGGATACCTGGGTAATTTGATCAATCAATCACCATGGCAGCCCCAGGATTGTTGAAGGGGCTTACCATGGGTTGCTCGTACCACTTATGTCCAGAGGCTTATTAATGAATTGTGCTCACTACTAGTAGATCTAACATGATCTAACTGGACATGGGTCACAATTTTTAGACCTGGGGGACATTAGGTCATTTTTAGTCTATTTTTAGTAGACAAAATCATTCATTTTTAGGGTACCTTTGTGTCAACCCACATTGATAAAATTTAAGTTATATATAACCCTGTAAAATGGAAGGCCAGTCAATTTACGAAAAAATATCGCAATTCAGATTGAATAGGGGTTAAAACATGTTAAAACACATTTTCCCATCAACACTGCCATTAAATCAACGGTGGATCACTCTTTTTGGACACACTTCAGCGACGAATTCAGTAGTTCATCATGATTTTCCATATGACACACTCAACTAGGCTAAAGTTTCCATGTTTTATGGTCAAACCACATTTTTTTTCTGATTAAACCACCATTTTTGATGGTACAACCCATTTTTGAACTCTTTTGGCTCAAGTTACACAAATTATAGCGAGGACAAACGAGGCAACGAGGCAGGTTATAGGAATTTTCACGAGGTCAACGTTTCATTTCATTCTCAGACTTCGCCGCCTTCAAACATTCTTGGTGCTCTTTTTCAGACACGAGGGAGACGAGGTAAGAAACCTTTGGTTTCGCTGTTCCTTCGATCGCTCCACCTTTTGCTGGTGCACCATGTGGAGTCCATCGCCGATCCAAACGATCCCCGTGCAGTTCCAGCCGCACTGACGTGCTTGACGCCGTGGTACCTCACAATGGTTAGCCTAAAATTGCAACTTTTAACCGGGAAAATGGGGGTTTTAAAGCACCAAATTTGAAGTTAAGTGGTACCTTATTTTTCAGACATCTCCAGTCATCCATCACTTGGGGTTCAGTTGCATCCAAAAAACTGAGGTAAACACAACAACCACCCATTCTTAGCTCAAACTTGGGTAGATGAGATTGGGTTCGGAAGTATATCACATTACATTTCATCATATTTCTAGTAGTACATTCATACTTGTGGTATCCCAAAAAACGTTGGATCCTTGGTTAACTACACAATTTCGTCAACTTTGCGGTTCGATGGGTCCCCAAGTCGTAGCCACGCCAGGCGTGATGTCCAGCCTGTGTATCGAGGCTGGGATCCAGTGAGGAGGGAGCGCTTCGGATTGGGGAGCCAAGGACGTTACTTCGAGTTTCCCAATCGTATCTGGTTGGTGGTTTGGAACCATGAATTTTATGACTTTCCATTCAGTTGGGAATAGTAACCCCAACTGACTTTCACTCCATCATTTTTCAGAGGGGTAGGTCTACCAGCAACCAGATTATGATTAACCATCATTAACCATATAATAACCATCATCATTAACCATTATTAACAGTATATTAACCACAATGGATAGTTGTGGGAATCATTCAGCCAGAAATCCACTTTTTCAAATCCGCGTCGATCATCCCGTTGGCACGGTGAAGCAGCGCCATCTTGGCTAGCCAGGTTTTTGGAGATTTGGACGCCAAAGGGGATCCATTCTTGGATGTGCATCCCACTTAGTAAGTGGTGTATTAGACGTGTATATTAATATATATATATATAATATTCCATTAATCCAACTGGGGGTATAACTAACCCATTTACTAAGTGGGACCCGCAGCAAGTTGAGATGCTGCTGTCAGGCTATCCTCAATCCTTTCGCATCGAGGCGTGTGGCGGTCCCGCGAGTGCAGGGCCATGGCCTCGCCTGGGCCGTTGATGGCCGTTGGGGGTGCATGGAATGATGGGGATCTAATGAAAATATCATCTGGTTATTTAACATAGCCATGGAAGCCATGGCCCATTTATAGATGATTTTCCCATTAATAAATTAATACCTCCATTTATGGTTGGGATTTTCCATGGCTATGTTAGTCATAACCAGATGGTATATGGAGACATATGAGCAATTGAGAATAAGACTATGAGTAATACATCCATATGAATCATATGATCCAATGGTTAGTACTGAAGGATTAATGGATGAAAAAAGTCATCAATCCCAATGATCTAATGATGGATTGATCTGATGAATGTACTGGGATCTATCCATCATTGAATTGAAGGACCATCAGTCCCCACACAGCTTTGAAACCACCGGGACGCCCGGCCCGGCCTGGCTTCGAAGCCAAGGATGGTTTCCGGGCCAGATGCTTTGAGCCAAACTTGTGTGCGGCAGGTGGAGTTGCGAACAGTTACGACAGCCACAGTCGAAGAATCATGCAGGATATTTCTTGTGGCTAGAAATCCACAACTGTGAAGGATGTGATCTGTGATGGGATAGATTTGGGATGCATTGCTGGTGGGCTGGGCTGCATTCAGGTGGTGCGACACCCTCCAGCTGGCTTTGTTCGCCCTGGACTGCGCTCTGAATAGCAGGGTTCCATCACCAACGTGTTGAATAATTGGGTTGGTCAGCACCAGGAACTCGTTTTCGAATTTTCCAGTTGATGATAGATTGATTTCTTCATAGTCGGGATGGGTCAAAATTTGGTTCCCTCCTGAAGGCTTTAAGATTTTGAACCAACAACCGGCCACTGCCCCTGCCTTTCATTGGACCCTCCCTGTGCCAATCAGGAGCCCACTCGCCTTGCATGGCACGGCCTCCGGTTCCGGCGCCCCTGCCGAAGCACCCCGTGGTGGTGCCACATGCGCCGCGGCCGGTGCAGATGCTGCCTGGGGCCAAAGCGATGGCGATGCCGCCGTCCATGAAACCTATGGCGAAGCCTGTGGCGCAAGCGGTGGCGCAACCGGTGCAACCTGTGCCGATGCGCAACCTGACACCCTAAATCGTGGAGTTGCAAATGTGGATGTGGATGGAGGTATACCTGGTATGTTGTGGATTTACTATGCTTCACTCGTTTTTGTTGAAACCGTTGTAACAACATTGAAGGGAGTGTTTTGACTTACAAGGATTCATAGACCTAACTGCACTTATCTGTTGCAAAAACAAAGCGACACAGAAAACCATGGACACCTTACAACACTGTCCGTTTCGGAGTCCTTTCCCAAGGACATCAAGGCACCTGCCCAGTGGCCTCGCCGTGCTTTACTTCTCGCGTCGTGGTTCGGGCGCCTTCCCCGACCCCGATGTCGCCGGCGCGGGCGCTGCACGCACTGTCGCCGGCGAGGGTGAGACAGGAGCCATCGCCCGCACGGGAGCTGCGCAGACAGGAACGCAGCCCCATGAAAGCCAGAGTGCTGGAGGCTGGGAGCTCCAAAAAATTGGGGGGCAACTCATTTTCAGATCTACGAAATAGATCATGGTAAATCATGGTTAATCATGGTTAATCATGGTTAATCATCAAACTTTAACCTATTTTAGTTTATTCAAATGGTCATGACACATGTGTTGAAGCGCATGTCGGTCCCGTTGCTGTGCCTTGAGGTGCGAAAGGTCTACCCGGTGACGACCGGCGTCCAGAAGATCGAGCCGGAACCCAGAGAGGCAGGGCGCCAGGTCTGGAAATGGTGTGGATATATACCACCTTAAGTTTTTCCAAACAAATGGAGAATAAACATACATGATGCATCATGATGCTACTATACATCCATGACAATCCCATCCCAATATTAAACACCACCTATAGATGCTCCCTTTTTGTTTGTGGAAATTCTCTAATCCATGGTTTCTTGACGTTTCTTGGGCGTGCCAAGGCGCAGCCCGAGACCGAGACGACCGTGGCAACCGTGGCCCCGGTGGCCCCGGCCCCGGTGGAGGCTGAGGCAACGAAGGCGGCTTCAGAGTTGCAGGAGTCGAGATGTGTCTGAGCTCCTCAATAGCAGCTGAAAATAGCTGAAATCATTGAAAAAAAAGACATGATTTCAGATATGTTCATGATATGTTCACATTTTTCGGACTTGAAGGGCGATAGGTGCCTTCAAGGTGGTGCCTCGGTTTTTTAAACCCACTATAGTTATCTCATCAGCATAAACCCAAGAGTTGATCTAGTCATAAACCCCTACACCAGGTGAGGCCCCCGAACGCTAAGTTGACCAATGTTGACTTAATTCGCTAAACTAGGTCAACTACATGGTTTATGGAGGATATAACATGGTAAACTACATGGTTTATGGAGGATATAACATGGTATAGCATGGTATAACATGAAAATTATCACTACAGTTCATGGCTTTATAAACCAACACTGGTGGGGCTCGCCAGGAGCCCCAGGGCGCCGATGTCGAGCGCGAGTCCCAGGGCTCAACGCAGGCCTCGGAGATGCACGAAGCTTGGTTGCAAAAATGGGGGAATTTTTCGCATCAAGTTTTGCGATCCATCAATGATAGAGTCCTCCATCTTTATTATGGCATGTAAATGGATGTAAATGGATGTAAATGGATGCAAATGGCCTCCAAGTCCCTTGGAAACGGATTTTTAAATGAAGAACATGCCAAAGATTTAACCCCCCAGTTATGGCTCCTTTGATCAAAATGGGTTCAGGCCTCAGTTCCAAGGTCGGCGAGTCGGCGACCTATCAACCCCCAATCAGGTGACCTTTGGATGGGTTGAATTATGTTGAATCCCTATGAAGAAACTATGTGCTCAATCCACCATAGACTGGACCAGTTCTTTCCATAATCCAATTTTGACCATTTGGGCTTCACAAAACTGCAAGAATTGAGGTTTCCCAACAGCAGTGGTTGGGTTTCAATCTCTGGGTCTGGGAGTGGCGGGTCGTTTGGCACCCAACGCACTTCAGTGCAGTTGTTTAAGCCGACCAGGAGTTGATTGCAAGGTGCGCAGATGCTCTCCAGATCTCTCCAGTATAAACAAGCATGACTCACATGACCATGTTTTTTACACCTTTTTAGATGATAGAAATTGACATCGGGATTTTCCATGGTCACGTTTGATTACAAACGCTGGATTTCCATCCCATCTCCCAATCCCATTTCCATCCCTATGTATAGATTTCCTGAGTGATATCATAAATAATACATCCAAGATATCATAAATAATACATCCAAGATATCATAAATAATACATCCAAGATATCATATATTGGATTAAATATGTATTACTATGAATATTTACTGTATCCTCTAACATCCCCTAAGCCACACTATCCATTGAAGAATAGCATTCTTGATTATGAAATAGCAGGCGATCAAACTGGTTGGATAGGGATTGTGAACAAACCCAGGTCGCAGGACGCATCATATGCAGTATGTATGATAGATAAAACACATACAATAAAGATGAATGAATAAGTAAATATATAAGTCAATAAACAAATCACTAAATAAACAAACATAAATAAGTAAATAAATCAATCAATAGATAGATAGCTAGAAAAACACACACAATATATATATAATATACACACACACATTATATGTGGGTAAATTATAACGACCTCACTGCGACCTCACTGGAAATCATGGTTTCTATATGGGAAATCATCCCTTTTATGGCCGAACTATTCAGGTTAGTGAAATATTATAATTTGCCCAGATACATTATCATATACCATCTCGTTATTTGTTACATGGCCATGGAAAATCCCAACCATAAATGGAGGTTTCGTTCGCTGGGAAAATCATCCATTTCGATGGATGGTTTATTTCATGGACTATCCATCTCTATTTCATGGACTATCCATCAATTTTTGCTTGCTGAAACCACCATTTTTTGCCACTGTAATCCCAATCACATATGAAATCTTTCACCATTTTTTTTTATAGGTAAACCATCTATTTCTATGGGCCATCGAAAAACCATGGCTAACTGTTAAATAACCAGAGGGTATATCCCATTAATATCCCATTGAATCACTATTTTTAATCCCATTAAAATAGATGGTTTACCTATAAGAATACCACTGTTAGTCATAACCATGATAAATACCCTCTGGTAAGCTAACATAACTATGGAAAATCACAATTTTTAATGGGAAAATCCACTATAAATGGTCATTTTCAATAGCAGAGGGTATATCTCCACTTCCCCCAGGACGAGCTGCGGCGCCAAGTGCGGCCGCTGCCGCCACGGCCCCTGGGCGCCGCGCCGGAGGTGCCCAGCAGCGCAACGGCGGTGGAGCCGTTGCTGTGGCAGATGCAACCGGATAAGCCGCTGGACATGGGAAATTCAGGGGGAAATCCATGGGGAAATCCATGGGAAATCCATGGAAACTATGGAAAATCCAGGGGAAAATCCATGGAAACTATGGAAAATTGATGAAAAATCCATGGAAAAAAACGAGAATTGATGGGACAATCTATGGAACATCCATAAATCATCATAAATCCATGGGAAACAAATCATCAGAGCAAGACAACTTGGCTGACGAGTTGTTCGGGGATTAGCAGCTAACCTTGATATCTTGGGAACATCACAACGAACGGGGAATCTGCAGAATCCTGTCCTTAACCAGCAGGCATATATCACAGGGCTTTGAACACTATGGAAAACTGTGGATAAATCATGGAGAAAAACAATGGAAATTCATCGGACATGGGGAAAATGGTGGAGCTCACCGCTAAAAAACCCAGTGGAAACGAGGATTTCACTGGAGAGTTCTTGATAGGGAGCTTGATAGGGAGATCATCGAACATTGGGGTTTCATGATATTTTAACTGGAAATCGGGGATATAACCAACTCAATAATGGGGATATGAATGGATACGATATGACAACCAATCTAGGGATTTGACCAAATGAGGAGTTGGCCGATTTCGGCAAACTGACAAGAGATATAGCTCAACCAATCACATGGGTTTTTTACCCGACCCAAGGGTTGACAGGCCATGATTGATTTCGAATCTTGGGATGGGTTAAAGTCAGGGATGGAACGATGCTGCACTGATGGTTTGGAGAGCAATGGTTGGATGATGTCCAAAAGATGCAAATATTTTCCTTGGGGTGATCCCTTCATCTTTGTTTTGTTTTTTTAAATTTGTCCAAATATATATATATATTATATAAATATATATATATATATATTATATATATTATATATATATGTATATATATTTATTCAGTATGATATATATATATAATTATATGAATTCGAGGATGTTGTTCGGAGATCTGTTTTTTTGTGAGCTCCGTTCCCAAGGTGCCTCTCTTTTGAGCATGACATCAATCCATAGAACTCACAAAATATCGAGGTTTCCGTGAATTGTCATGGAGCTACCCCAAATCATCCAAGATCATCCAAGTGCTTCGACCATGACTTAGTATTGAAACCAATTACCACCTGGTTATGACTAACAGTTTGCCATGGTTTTTCGATGGCCCATAGAAATAGATGGTTTACCTATCAAAAATGGTGGATCTTTCCATGGCAAACTGTTAGTCATAACCAGATGGTAACCGTTCTGGTTTTGATTCATTGCTCCCCCCATGGTTTAACCCCCATGGCACCAGCTGCGACACACTTGCTTTTTCCCACGAGGCATCCCAGCGAGGTGGGCTGACCTGGGGGACCTGGGGGAAGTTTCTGCACAAATAATGGGGGAGCCGGACAAATATGATGATCAGAATGGATGGAACCTGATGGAACCTGATGGAACATGGAAAATCGGAAACAACAAACCGCTGTAACTTTGAAATAACGGCGGGATGAATCCCGCAAATCCCTCGCTTGGTGGTAGCATCGGTGGCAACGTCACGTCACGTTCGCCATGGGTGGTAGCATCGGCTGAATCGAGGCAGAAAGTGAGCGGTCCTTTTTGAACAGCTGCCTCAAAGATTTGGCCGAAAGTTTGGATCAACACGGTGGCTTGCAACCGTGCCCTGGGGGTGAAAAAAAAGGCCATGGGATGACCAGGAGACCACGATGATTCAGGCACCAGTTTTTTCGAACCAAATTTGGGGCTTCTATTTGCACAAAAAATCCAAACACGTCCATTCTTCAGCACTCGTTCTCCAAACCTTTTTGGACGATGAAGATGATGAAGTAGTAACCCGCAAATTCGCATTTGCACACCGACAAGAACCTTCGCTTACATGAGAGGTGGCATTGTTAGTGGCTGGTGGTTTCAAATGTTTTCTGTTTACCATCGAAACGGGACTGATCATCCTCAATGACGAGCAGATTTTTCACATTTTGCTCAAAGAATCTCAGCAGTTGAGTGGACTGAAGCAGTTGCCCGCGAAGCCGAGATGATCCCATTTTCCAAGCGATGTTTGCTGATTGAAGTCCTCTTCATAGATTGAGATCATCACTTCCTGACTTGAAATCTATAACATCATTTAGACTTATGATTTATGATGAATGACGAAAAGATGGTTGAATATGTTTGAAATACGTTCACAAGTCTCTGAAGCAAAGTCAACACATTCCATCATATATTTTTTGGTTGAAAAGAAACTAATTTTAAAGATGGTATGTCAAATTTACCAACCTTGCCCTCATCCCCACCTTTATGTTTTGGTTTATTGTCAAAGCAAACATAGGCTTACACAATTCTCTATTCAAACCTGCATTCAGTTCGAGGATATTCATGGATTTTCGCCAAAAAAAACATCCATTTACAGAGGATTTTCCCAGCATTTCCCAGACCTAAACCTCCATTTCAGAGGATTTTTTCATGGATTTCCCCATGATTTTCCCAGATCATGGCGATCGCCATGGCCCACTGAAATCGCCATGGTGCTGCACTTGGCTCAGCTCTCTCCGGAGCTCTGCAGGGAGCTTTCCGCGGAGCTGCCTTCGCGTTGCGGCGCACCTGCAACGCGGAACGTGGAGCTGAACGATGCCCAGGCGGGGGATGGTAACTTTGGTAAGTTATAGTATGGTAGTCACTTATATAACTTATAAGTATACTATAGTTTTGGATAAGTATCTTTTACTGATGATGTTACTGTGGTAACTATAGTAAAAATATACTATGCTATAGTTACTTGATCATCTTTGAAAGGTAGCTATAGTAATTATTGACTGTAATTAGTATAGTTTCATAGTAATTATTTGATAGGTAATTACAGGTAATGTCAACCCTGGATTAATAAACCCGTAGGCTGTTTAATTGGGAGGGTACCATTTAAGTATTAGATTATGACTATTTGGGGAGTACCCCCCTAATTAATAAACCATGGTTTATTAATCCGGGGTTGACATTATATAATGTAATTGTTCATATTTTTTGAGAGGTAGCTAGAGGAACTATATTAAGCTTTGGCAGTATATGGCAGTATATTAACTATAGTTAGTATAGGTTCTTTTCTCTCTTTTTTTAATAGTCTGATTGATATCTTAATTATTAATTATTGAACATATACATATACACATACATATACACATACATATACAGATACATACACAGAAACACATACACACACATATATATATACATATATATATATAGACTTTTTTGATCCACTTCAAATTGAGATCTGGTGTTGGACCCCCAAATTTTCGCCGGACATGTGATTGGATTTGGATGACTTTTTGTAGGAAATGATGATCGTGAACACATCCCAAAAGGACTTTCAGATTGGTGAGTTCCTATACTGCAGATGGATGAAGATGAAGATGAACATTTCCGCGGTCAAGGGTTTTCTGGTGCCCTTTTCCTCATGTTTCCAGAAGTTGATGCACGCTGTATCCAAAGGTTCAAAGAAGTAGCTATTCTTTAGCAACCTACCTCCTGGCTCTCCTACCGGAAGGAGCAACGTGTTCAAAAGCCCTGTTGATGATTTGTTTCGGGGTTATACAATAACCTAAAAATATCTTGGTGAGTATCACAATTTATCGGGGAATCCCGTTCAAAAAACCAACGTGCAGTAAGGCTTTTATTGCATCAGCGGGTTGCCCTTTGAGGTGCTTCTGAAGCTTTGGAGCCACGTGCAGAGCCACGTTCCCAGGAGCTTCGAAGGTCACCATCCATTTTTCTGGGACACTGTGGATATCATGGAGATATGTCAAACAATGTCAAACATGAGTTTTAGTTTGAACCATTTGGTGTCAAAACTGGGGTCAATGTTTCATACCGATCCATATTATTGCTTTCAAAAGAAAGCAGATCGACCAGTCTTGCTATGTCTTGTTCATGTTCTTTTCTTGAAATTTTGTATCTGTGTCAAAACGGCACATAGAAAACGACAAAGTCTGGAAAGGTCTGACTTTGGTTGGACCGCACCCACGCATGCGCTTTCTGGAGTATGTGGCCGTGGACCCTGATGTGAACTCTGGGACACCTGCAGTTGATCATCCTTTGCATGCAGATACACCGCTTCAAGATGCAGGATCATATTCTTGCATAACCGTCTTGGTCTATTTGAACTCGGACTTTGAAGGTGTCCTTCTGGCATGGCACGAAATGTTTCTACTTCATTTTTTCACCGCTGCCTAGCTTTTTTGGATGAATCCATCCCCCAAATATGTATGATATATGTAACTTTTTGCACAGGAAATCCACATAGCTCTTTGACTTTCATTTTTGATGGTTAATGTTAATACCAAATATCTTCTTTGATGCTTTAGCCAAAAAACATGAGACATTTTTTGATTTTGGTCCTTACCAGGTGGATTTGTCTGGAAATGAGGTACCCTTCATTCCACTGCTTTATCATCCGGTCAATCCAAAATATGATGATCTTCTGGTCAATCCGGGACACCTTTCCTTCCATAAATCAGGGCAAATTTTGGGCGGGATGAATAAACTTTTTCAATATGGTCCATGGATGGGCAGAAAATGGCAGGGCAAATTCGTCCCATTTGCAGGTGGCGAGCTTGATTTCGAAGCACAGAGCCTTTCGCCGAGGGAAGGCCTCGTGGCGATCTTTCCCCACCGATGGCTGCACAGGAGCAGGTCAGTCACCAGTGGCTGCAAGCGGCTGCTGAAGCTCTCGGTGTTGTATGCGGATCCGATGTCTGGAAGTGCTGGAAGTGCTGGAAGTTGTAAAGAGGCTGGTGGGAGAAAATGGATGAACGTGGCATAGCGGCTCGGAAATTGGATGTATTGGATAGATACTGGTATGTGATTTTTGTCAATACCACTTATTTCCCTGCAACCCTGACGTTTGCCCGCCACAATCGTGGAGGGGTTGCGTAATTTTGAAAAGCTATGTCGGTGGACGTTCAACATGTATATGTATACTTGATCAATGTTGAAGTAATGAAGTATATATGTATAAATATGTAGATATCATAAATAAATAAAGAACAAAATGATAGATAGATATATAGATAGATAGATTAGATTAGATTAGATTAGATTAGATAGATTAGATAGATTAGATAGATTAGATAGATTAGATAGATTAGACAAATTAGATAGATTAGATAGATTAGATAGATTAGATAGATTAGGTCGATTAGATAGATTAGATAGATTAGATAGATTAGATAGACTAGATAGATTAGATAGATTAGAACGATTAGATAGATTAGATAGATTAGATAGATTAGATAGATTAGATAGATTAGATAGATTAGATAGATTAGATAGACTAGATAGATTAGATAGATTAGATAGATTAGAAAGATGAGATAGATTAGATAGATTAGATAGATTAGATTAGATTTGATTAGATTAGATAGGTAGATAGATAGATAGATAAATAAATAAATAGGTATATATGTATATATAGACATATTTAGTTCTTTGTACATGTCCATATCGGATGTTGAAGTTGTGTGAAAACCGTCAATGTAGCTTGTTTAGTGGATGTGGGTTTGGAACCTGAAAATTAGGGATTTAGCACCAACTTCACTGAGAATTTCAGGATCCAAAAATGGAGGTACTGTACCATATAAGGCAATATTTTGCGGGGAATTTCCGTTACATAGCCCTTACAGTCCTTATACATGGTAGGTACCTCCAATTAAGGTTCCTTGGCCGTGGCCATTGACAACTTGTGGCCACTTTCATGGGGAAAATGATGAGAACGCTGTGGGACTTTGGTGGTTTTCAAGTTCTCTTTTGGGTTATAATCATGCACTACATGCCAAAATTTGCTTGCAAACGAATAGGTTGAATCCGAATTTTCTGCTGGTTCACCCCTTTTCTGGCGGCATTTTTTTCTCATGTTTCAGTGGGCAACATTTTTGTATCCCCAGAGGCCGATCTGGAGGAACGGCTGCCCTTTATCATGGCGGCGACGTCGGCACGGCGAGCTCCGGTCGCGACGGCGGCAACGGCTCAAGAGGGCTACTTCCAGCGGGAAACTTTGTGGAAGCACACGCTGTCCATGGTGGGCACCAAGAAGGATGAATTTCAGCTGTTGCTTCAAAAGGCCAAAAAGTTGAATTCTGATGATGCCTTGGAAAAACTACTTGACTTCATTGTGCAGAACGATGTGAACAGTGAACCGTGGGCCGAAGAACTTTTGACGTCAGCTTTCATGTCGTTGG